ATATTTAGAATATTTTAATTTATTTATTTACATGGGAAATAGGTCTTGTTCTGAGAAACATACTCTGAAAAAGTTCCAGGCAGAAAACAGATGGTTGATGGGGAGAAGGAAGATGCATATCATCCTCTTCTGCTTACACAGAGTCTGGCATAGGACTGCGAGTATGAGACGCTGGTGAGAGCTACTTAGGATGAGTGGTTGTTACAGAAGGAAACTCTGCTCACTTGACAGTGAGCACCGGATGATTGGAAAAAAATATGGTCAGAACATGGTCAGACTCTGCTGTGTTCTTTTGTATTTTCGTTTAATTGAATTGTCAGTATCTGATACCAGTCATAACCGTCCTTGTCCAGTGGATGACTCTTTCTGTCCTTCTCTTAAACGTGCAGTAGGCCAGACGATGCTATGGAGGTCTGTTCTGCACACATCTGAAAAGGTTGATTCAAGTCTTGTATCCGGCCTCCCATTCCTTACTGGGCTCATTAGTAAGCTGCTCATGATATTTACATGATATTCATCTAGACTGCAAGGTCTGGATTCACAAGGGCAAGGCTTGACACGGAAAAAGCGCTTATGTTGTAGACAAAAAATTTCTTAGGGCTGGCAGATGGAGGGCAGAGGTAGGTTCTTTATGGTTCTGGACTCTTCTTCAGTAGACAGTAAAATTAGACACAAAAAATTGGAGTAGCAGAGAGAGTAGTCTATGGGGAAACTGAAATTAAGCCAAGAGGCTTTCTGGAAGAAACTATGAAGCCTAGCCATGAAGGACTGCAAAGGTCAGTCAAGATGAGCTCTCACTGTCATCGTGTTAGCACGTTACCATCTAAGAAACAGTATAGTGACAGGGATTTAGTATGCAGGTGGCATTTTTGCCCTTGCTAGTTTTGAAGGACCATGTAAAATCCTGTCCCTGCATTGATGAGATCAGCGCATGAATGAAAAGCTGCTGGAGCTGCACCTGAGCCATCTGGCAGCATCACTGAGTTTAACAGCTGAATGTGCTTCAGAACCTTAGTGCTGTCTCCCTGGGTGGAAGCTGTGTGTAATCCCACTGAGGTGATTGGCAGTTCAGTCCATGGCCTTGGATTGCTTCCAAATTCCTGGTTGATGCTAGGAAGAAATTCCACCCCCTCACCCCCCCCAATAACGTGTTCCACTAGTTAGGGCTGACCAAGACACTACTGCCAGTCATTGAGGAGCTGAACATTCTACTCTTTCCTTTACCTTCCTGTCTGCGCTGTAGCAGTGATGTATGTACCTGATCATGAAGTCAGGTAAAAGAAAGGTTAAACAGGTAAAAAAGGAGGTTTTTCAAGAATGTTAAGAACATTAGACGTGCCTTAGTCTGTTAGACATGTCCTTTTTCTCTCCAGGTAGGCCCAAATTATAGATAGGGACTGTCTTTCCCATGATACCGTAAGCAACTGCTTTCATTTAGTTAGTTTTTTCCAGATCCCTCTCTGAGTTCCTGAAGGTTCTGGGCTTTGTGCTGCCTGTTCCTCTCACTCCTAGGCAGCAGGGAGGAGGATTCCTGATGTGTGTGCAAAATGGTAGTTTGGGGCTCGGTGGAGGTTTTTGAGAGGAAGTGCTGGCATCAGGAGTAAGGAGAAATTAATGGCTTTGAGTTGGGATCTTGTGTGTGGAGGTAAAGAGATGAGAACAGCTGAGTCAGGAATGAGGGAGTGAATGGTTTTCTCAAGTACTGAAAACTGGCTGGAGGTTGCAGAAGAGATGAAAAGACAGGTCTGAACTGCATGGCAATGCTGGGGTACTACAGGCAATCTTTAATTCTTCTGTATTTGCAACCTCTTGGATGATGGGGTGGAAGGAGGGCTATACGCTTCATAATAGTCCAATGTAATACTTTGTGTGGGGTTTGTTTTTTTTTTTTTAATCTTTTATATCAATTCACTAAATTGTTTGGGCTTTAAAGGACATGCATAGTTTTTCTCCTTGTCAGGAACAGCAAAATTTTCTTATCGTGGGGAAAGTTTGTATGTATTGTCTGGCTAAGACAGAGCTTTCCTGTGGTCAGTCATAGGCTGTGAAGCAAACTGCATGACACCATGCCATCACGGACTGCGCAACTGTGTGCTCACAAGCTACATATGAAATATTAAATTCTCTTTTTTAAAATGGAAATAAATTATATTTCCTCCATGGGGAGAGAGAGGACCACATACAGAAGTTTACCATGCGTTACAGTGCTTTTTTTGAAAGTGATCCAGTGCTGTAGGAATGAAAGTTTTGTAATTAAATAAAATAATTTGAAAGAATGAAAGATACCTCATTGTATGATTGACGTGGTTCACGCGTAAGCATAGATTAATGGGGGGGGGGCGGGGTGGGGAGAAAAGAGCATGCTATATTGTTTGCATAGTTCATGGGAAAAGTTTCAGTATTTTTCCCCAGAGTTGCAGACAGAATTTGCTGGGACAGAAAGTTAAAAATCTTGCTTCTGAAATTTTTAAGTTCATGGTTCTTGTCTACAAAGGTAGAATATCTTAAGAGAATCTTGTTGTAGAGGATAAGCAGTGCTCACTTCAACATTCAACTTAATCTTTTGTATTTGAAGTATCAGTATCTGTTACTCTCATCTTCTTTTGATCTTTATTGAATGGGGTGTCTTAGTTACATAAAAGCAATCAGAAGCTCTCCTGGTCTGCATTAGCATATAATATTTATATGTGCTTTATTAATTTCCTATCAAAAGTTTAGAGCAATGGAGCTCTCCTGGAGTTTGCATAATGGATAATATGATAATGACTAAGGCAGAAGTTTCATTATGGATAGAAAACTAGGATACATTTCAAGGCTTTTGGAAAGATCTGCAATACCTTTCACCTTCAGTTTCAGATGGCAGCAACGTGATTGGAACTGAAGAGAACAGTTTTGACCGCAGCTATGTAAAAAAGAAATTGGAACATGGGCTTTCACGAATATGGCAGGTATGTTTTCTGATTTTTTTTTTTTCCCTCCCTTCATAATATTTTTCTCCACCTCTCACTCTCTTCCCCGCCCCCCCGTATTAATTACAGTTATATTTATACTTCTCTTCTTAAAAGAAATCTCTTGATTTGAGCTAAATATATCAAAACCATGGAAATAAAATTTCCGTGACTCAGTTACTACTTGGTCACTGTGCTTACAACCTCAGTCAAGATATCAAAAGGTAAGAACAAGACTTTCGGCCTGCTTCCACTTCTCCCAGTCTGTATGCTGCCCCACAGTCTACTTTCTTCTCATGTACTTTTCTGTTAGCACAGTCATGCTGCTTTATGTTTCTCGTATAATCATAGCTATGGAGAACCTGAAGTCTTGTGAACCTGCCTGGTTTCACAGTATTTCTGCTCTGACTGCTGAATCAGTTTGATGTGCAGTGAGACACCAAATGTATGATGAAATGGTTGTAAACCTTTTACATGGCTGAATTGTAATCCAGAGCTCTGTTTTTGCAGTAACAATAAAGCATCTAGGATTGACCTTGTGTTATAGAGTGTTAAAGAAACTAATGATAGTATTGTTTTAGAAAGTCCATGAGAGATCGTACATATCACAGAAAAAGGAATTCTACTCTAAATCTCAAAAAGAAGTGCAAACAAAACAAAAAGTGCTAATGAACCAGGCATCTGAGCCTTCACCTTTTTGTCTGTAGTGTATTAAGTATACAAAACTTGTTCGTGTTTTGTAGGATGTTCAACTGAAAGTGAAGACATATCTTCTGGGAACAGATCTGTCTAACTTCAAATACGATGACTTCATATTTGTACTTGATGTTATCAGCAGGTATACTGATGTAGTCATAAGACTACTTAATACAGGTGCACAAACTTAAACTCTGATAAGACAGCACAGTTAATTAAGGCTGATATTTACATTCTGATACCAACTTTGTTCATATCTACTAATAGTTTGAAGAGCACTTCTTTATGTGTGAGTTTATGAGGATGTATTTGGGAGAGGTAGCGTAAATTGCTTTGCTGCTCAAGTAGTGCCTAAATGTGATATGATTTCAGTATTGTCCACTTTGAAGATTTTAGATGTGGAGATCTGACAATTTCGATGTTTATAAAAGCTTTTAAAGGGACTCTCAGTCAAGAGCAGTAAAATACTGTGGTACTGCTAACCTGTAAAGTATTGTGTCCTTCTGTTTTCGTAATAAAATCATGGATTCAAACTGTGAGCTGTACAGCTTGCCGTGCTGTATGTGATCTCAAAAGGACGTTTATTTTGGTTGTGGCTCTTTGTCTATGTGCATGGGATGTTATGATAGGATTTGGAGGGAAATGAGACATGGACTTTTGTGGAATGAGTGAAGTGTTTGCAACTTAACATTGGTGCTCTGCTTTTATGGAGATACATGTATGCTTATGGTAATGATTGAGGTTTGTAATTCAGGTTGGAACAGCAGTATTAATAAATCAATAAATATTTCTAAGCTTCGTTTTATTGTTATAGGCTGATGCAAGTTGGAGAAGAATTTTGTGGCAGTAAGTCTGAAGTTTTGCAAGAATCTATCAGAAAACAAAGTGTTAACTATTTCAAAACATACCACAGGTGAGACTACTATATGTGCAGTGGGTGAATCTAATGACATTTATCTTCGTTGGATTTAATTTTAAATGCTTCATAAAGGTATTCCACTGCATAATGTCCCTGCATGGAGGTTGGCAGATAGTGGAGTATGTTTTGTGATGAGAATAGGGCTCTGAACTCTGGAGAAGGGGAGAGGGTGGAGAAGCCTTTGCTTCTACTATGGTTATGGAGGACTCTAGTTCTGCAACAGGCAAACCAGATAAAGATGAAAAAGTTTTTATGTAGAATTTCAGTAGCTTTCAGTCTGCCTCTTAAGCTGCCTCTTAAACTGCCTCCTGGGATCCTGAGGATGAATGCCTCTGAAGTCCTAGCAAAATTTTTACTTCTTTTTCTATGCCATTACATAAAAAGAGCTGATCATGTGTGACTGTGAAATGTTTTTTTTCAATATGCAATTCTGTCGTGTATCAAATGAGATGTTTAGAACTGAGTCCATCCTTTTGAGTAACATTTTCATAGTTTTTTCATTGGTGATATCTAACTATGTTTCAGTCAACTCTGCTGTTGTATCTGAGGCCAGTCATATGTGCTGTCATGTGCAGGTAGTCTTTGGCCTCAGAATGATACATGGCTATGACAGCTTCAAGACTTGTCTGTCTGTTTGTTTATTTTAATTGTCTTGATTTTCTAAATGTCTTGGTTTGGATGATTGACAGCTCTTTCATTCAAGTTATCTAGCATTTATCATCTTTCTGCATGTGAAAAGCTAGGAAGGGAAGAGAAAAAATAACAGCGTTCCTTGCTCTAAGAAACTCTTACTTTGCCAGTCTTGATCTGTTGTCCTCTGTTGTATAGGAGCTGTCATACAACTAATACATCCAAACCCATTTGATCTGAGACTTTCTGCCTAAAATCCGTAAAGTATGAAAGTTACGACAGGAGAACATGAGACCGTGTCTAAATTCAGAAGCTGAGAATGTGATTTGGAATTTCTTCCAACTTTGGTGGTTGTAGCAGGGATTTCTTTCTGGGCATTTGATGAAGACCTCAGTTCCAGTTGTCTGAAAAGCTTGAGCCTTAATCAGATGCAGATTATGTCTTGTCAGGAGATGAGTTGATTAAGATGCCATGCCACCTATCTGTATTTCTTGAAAGCATTTATGAACCTTGAACTGAATTTCGTGAACTGATTTGGAAACTGAGCTTGCAACTGTAGGTTCAGAAGAGCTGTTTTGGTTTACCTAACCATCTTTTACAACACTGACTTACCATATAATACCTTATTTGGTTCGATAAATATCATTTTGACCATTATGGTTTTGCTTGTGTTTAAATGACCTGTTTAACAGCTTAGAGAATCAGAGACTAATTTTCTGAATTATCTTTGAGTAAAAGAAAGGTTAAGAAACATTAATAGAATATGTATAGAAAGAATAATTTTTTGAAATAACTTGTGGTTTTTATTAAGGTAATGTTTCTTGTAATTTTTGTGAAAATGAAAGGAAGTATTATTGATATGACTCAAATTATGTGAACCTTTTCATACTTTTTACATGTTCTATGCTGTGTGGATATTTTGAAGATTAATCGGCTGATGTTCTCATCCTCAGAAACAAAAATACAAAAAAACCTCTCTCCCAGCTATATCCCTCATGTTGATTTATGTAAAAGCTTTAAGCAGCTTGCCTTTTCAGATCAAGCCAATGTGGCTTTCACTCCTCTTGTGTATTTAATTGGAGGGAGGGGAAAAAAAAAAAGCTAGTGCTTTTAAGGATTCATTAGTACATAAAAGCTACGTAGAGCTGAAATGCTTGGAGTCCAGGAGTAATCAATTCTTTGGTTGTGTAATTTGACGTATGTACCTCCTGGGCAGTGTGGTGTTTGAGAGAGCTGCCAACATAGAGAAAGCATTCAAAGGAACTGGTCATGTCATTCAAAAAGCATAGAAGAGCAATATACTAGAGCATACATGAAGCCTTTTTTGGGTAAAAGTTGATGATTTTGAAATATTAGAATGGGCTTTTGGCAGAAAACGTCAATAAGATGTTTTTTGGAATGCAATGTACTTTTTGTTCTGATACGTTTCTAAAAAGGTGTGTCTGATCACTAAAGCTTTTCAGAGAATGAATGCATCAGACCTTCTGTGTGGGCCATTTTCTAGTCTTGTATGCTGGTGAAAATGAAGAGCATTTGTTCAAGTACTTTGTCAGTGGCTTGATTCCAGCTTTGAAATGATACAAAAACTTGTGCTGTGTGGCTTTTAAATGTCTGCTTTTCTATGACTCTTTCTCCTTAATCTTCCTTTCAAAGAATTTTAGTCTGTCATGCTGATTTTCACAGCATCTTGATCTGTTGTTTCTGTTGGCTTTACCGTGAGAAGATCTGCATGCTATGGGTACCCAGTGCCTTGAAAATGGCACTTGAAATCTATTTGCATTTAACTGGTGAATTTAAATAGACACAGCAAACTGTAGTCATAATTCAACACATTGCTCATCTTGTTGAGGCAAGAAAATTTTAATTGTAGTAGTGATTATAGTTTGTTATTGAAATAGTAGTATTTCTAGAATATTTTAGTGCCTAATTAGAAACCCAGTGCATAATTTACCAACTGCTACTTGTTAAGCAAAACAATATACCATATATTAAGAAGAAAAGATACAGCAATGTGACCTCAATAAGCACTCGTTTCTGTCTTTTCCTATATGAGTTCCTGCTTCCGTGGCAAAAAAATTTTCTTTATTAAAAGTATTTCTGCTTATGGCTGAATGGAGGTTTTTCTAATGATTAAAAACATAACAGAAACATTGCAGAGACGTAATGGCTTGATTACGTTTCTGTAACATGTTTTCTATATTAGGACCAAGGCAAAGTTAAACTATGAAGAAAAATATAGCTTAGGAGATTAATAGCCATTTAACTTTTTTCTTTTCTGAAAAGTTGAGATGTCTGTAGAACATTAGTTCTTTCCACTTCCCTTTGCTACCTGTTGGCTTCAGTGTATCTGAAAGAAGCATTTATCTTGTGTGGGCTCACAGAAGTTGTACTGCTAATAGAGTGTGTATATTGTATTGCTTTCTACAGTTTACACAGAGGGAAAAAGGTCCAGTATTACTGCATAATCATAGATATTCCTCTATACTTTCTAATGGTTTTGTCAAAAAAATTTTTTTCCAAATTTTGGAGACTGACATTCTTTGAGAATTTCTCTAGAGGTGTCATAAAACATACACTGTGTTAGTAGCCACAGCTTTTAGGTAGTCTGTCAGTTGAAAGAATGAGTTAAATACCTATTTTCAAGTGTGACCTTGAAAGTTTTTGAAGGTGTTTTTCACTGCACAAGTTCAGTAATTGTCTGCTTCCTGATTTACTCTCTCTGCCAATTAAGAGTATTCATTTTGTTGTATTTCAGAACCCGTCTTGAAGAATTAAGAATGTTTTTGGAGAATGAGACCTGGGAACTTTGTCCTGTTAAATCAAGCTTTAGTATTCTGCAGCTTCATGTACGTTCTATGAATAACACATACAAATGTATTAATACTTCAATAACTAAGAGTCCAGGTGTTCTGAGAAGTAGTAAGATCCATGAATTACTGTGCAAATGTTTTTAATGGCTGCTAAAACCCTCTAAATTTCACTTCGTGATATTAGAAACATAAGATTCAAATGCTTTTAAAACAGTAGCATTCCTGTTTCAGGCAGGTAGGGGTTTACAGAAGATGCTAAAGTTGTAAGCATAATGTTAACCTTTATTTTTCATGTTCTAATGTGCTATTAATATGTCACTTTTCTATTTCTAAATTATTTGTCTGAGAGTAAGATGCTAAAAGATGGGTGCCTAAAAGTAGTCACATGAGTGCTCACTAGCTTGTACCAATTTTGGCACCTGTTTCAGGAAACATAGGTCACACTGGCTCACTGGAAAAGGGAAAAAAAAAGTTAATTCTTCTGTGGTAAAGTCTGACTGAAAGCAAGTAATTGGTGTGTTCACCTGCTGTCCTAAAGTGATTTTTGTGAAGTTTAGCACGTGGTGGGTGAATTTTGCCTGTTTTGCCAAATGAAACATGGACTATGATTAAAGCTATCACTAAAGCGCAAAAATGAATGTAACTGAGCAATCTCAAGCAAAAGATAATTTTGCAGGTTCCGAGTTAACTGTAAAAGTAAACAAGAGGCTACTGGGGTAGGAATAGCACAGAGGGAAAAGGAAGGAGGACCCTCAGTAGCATCTAGTAGCAAAAGAAATAATATTTTTAATAGAGAAATGGGTTTGCAAATCCATACATATGTTCAAGGGACTGGAGCAGCAGAAAATGGCAGAAAGTAACTGATTCATGTAAATAAACAGAAATCTAACTTTGCAGTCCTTTTAGCTGCATACGTTTTGATCTTTAAACGTTTAGGTAAATGGCAAAATGTACATTATAATTTATGAAGATAAATAGCTAGAGTTTAATAGATAAAAATGATATGTCAACTGAGATAAGTCAAGGTTTCTAGATAAAAATGTCTAAAATCATACCTTATATGCCCTACTTAGTCCATATATTTGAAAAAGTTTGTGCACACACCCAGTCACCAGAAACTTCATGTGCAATGGATTTGAAAAGCAATAAATTTTTAAAAGAACTTTTTAAAAATAAAATACTAAAAAAAATTTCAGCTTTAGTAAATTACTATATAACTTGTATAAAGAAAACTACATTTTTGGATAGAATTTAGATCTTGTTTTATTTCCTAATTTCTGTGAAATAAAAAACCCACTTAGTTTTCACCTAGTTTTGGACAGCGAATACTTTCAGAATATAGGAGATGTATTACATGTCATAGCCAAAAACTGCTAAAATTAGAAAGACAAGCGGTATAAGATTGCCAATTTCAAAGTTGAGCCAGCATGAAAAGCATATTTAAATAAGCAGCAAGCTTTGGCGAAAGGTTTTCGTGTCAGGTTAATTGTCCACAAGTTTGTTGTTATGCTCTGTTTTTGTGGTACTGGAGTCATAGTAATACTGAAACTGTCTTGTTGGTGATTAAAATTGTACTTTATTTCTATTAACAGGAATTTAAGTTCATGGAGCAGTCACGTTCCCCATCTGTGTCACCTAGTAAGCAGCCTGCTTCAGCAATTTCAACAACAGTAACGTTATTTGAGCAGTACTGTAACGGAGGAAACCCATTTGAAATTCAGGCCGACAGCAAAGATGATGAGACAGAAGACGTGTTAGCTTCCAATGGGGTATGGAGTGTTGCAGGAAAAAAAAAATAAATTATTTTGTGTATCAACAATGACAAAATGTCTTAGTACAAGGATCAGTTAACTGCAGTACTGTGTAAAATCTCAAGTTGCTTTACTCCTTTAATTAGGTAGGTTGCTTTGCTTTTAACAGTGCCAGAAAGCCAGGCATCCTGTTTAAAGTTCAGTTTGTTTTTCAGTGGATCAATATTTTTTTCCACTGAAGTCAAGTGTTCCTGAAGGCTAGCAAGACATGTTCCACTAAAATTAGTATTTTTCTGGGGGTTTAAGTTAACTTTCTTTGTGGAAGTAGTTTTGTCATTTTAGGAAAGGCTTTCTGGCTTTTTAGGAAAGAATCATTGTGGGTTGCTCATTCTGTTGTATTTGTTCACACTTACATGATTTACTGGGGGTTATCTGATGTTTGTTAGGCAGTTTTTAATTGTAATTTAAATGCTAAGGACACGTGCTTTACCGTGGGATCTGCTGTAAAACTGAACAATAACTTTGTGTATTTTTTTCAGAACTCTGTCAAAATCTAGCAGTGGTCAAATACATTTTACTTCAAAACTTTGTACCATTCTCTTAAATGGTATAATAACATATTTTTGTTAAAGCTTTTGCTCTTGTTTGTTCCTTTGAATAATGTTTTCTTGGGCTTTTTTTCGTCATAAGGTTGTGTTTAGGTTTTTTTGTTTAAGGTTAGTTAATCCAGCATGTCACACTAACGGCTTTCTGGTTTTGAGCTTCATCTTTCTTACTTTCCTTGTGGAACTTCAGTTGCAAAGCAGCTTGATCTGTATCTCACACACTGGAGTGTGATGCTCCACTGTCTTTCCTTTTGTGGGTGATGCTGCAGGCTCTTTCCTACTGTGTCACTGGAAGAGAAAATACAGTTGATTGGCAGGAAATATTGTTGCATTGTGCTTAAAGGAAGCTGCTGGAGAGCCAGTTTTCTGGTGGTAGTTCTTCCCATCAAGTAATACAGCAGAACATATGTCCTGCCTTTTCAAATCAGTAGACTGAGAAGAGTTGCATGGTTATCACTGTTAGACTTAAACGTAGACTCCAAATGAGCATGTTAAACAAAGTTGAATGTACTGCAAGGCATGCTGAAAAATACAGAATTCCATGCTACTTTGTAAAAACACACTCTGAAACAAAGCTTTTGGGGAATCTGGGCAGCCGTTTTGTAGATACTTGCTAAAATGATCCTTAGTGAAATAAGGATTAATGATGATACCAATAGTTGAGGTTTTCAAAATGAAAGCTCCCTCTACTGAAGAGTTCATTTCAGACTTTTGTATGTGTTTATGGGTAGTTTTGCCTTTTAAAAGATTTTTCTGAAGAAACAGGACTAGAAAATTAACTTAACTTTGGGGGGTTTTGTTTGTTTGTTTTCCCCAAGACAGCTTTCTTCTCAAGGTTTGACTCTGAAACAAATGTATAAGAGCCATCATGACCTGCACTGCAAGTGCAGAAATACATCTCAAATATTGCAGGATATTTTTGCCGCCATTTCCATTTAGAATAATTAGGAAAGTGTGAAATTATTTTCTAAAGTTGATATTAACTGGAGCTCCTAAGACTGGATAACATCTCAAGAACAGAAAAGAATAATTGATGGAATGTCATTTTCAATCTTATCTGATTCCTTGCAGGTTGCTGCTAGTAAATGAGTGCATACACTGTCCCCATATTTTTGTGAAGTGACTTGTAAGCAGAGGGCTTATAATTGTAGGAGGCTCGAATTGTCTTCATTTCTTTACTGTGGATATGCTGAGGAATTTTTCTTTCTATTTGCACACCTGTATGAGATATGAAAACTTTGCACACAAGTTAGAACAGAGTTGCTTCATTCTTTCCAGTTTTAACATTTTACCCTTCAGAATCTGTCCTAGCTCAAGTAAAATTTAAATTTTACTCATGAGACGATACCAACAGCATGAGGTTCAACAAGAACAAATGCCGGGTCCTACACTTCGGCCATAAAAACCCCATGCAGCATTACAGGCTGGGGGAAGGTATCTTGTGACTCAAGTGAGTATACTGTCCAAGTGACCATCCTACCTTCCCTTTTCACATTTTTCATCTCTCTCCATTACCGGCTCTTCCAAAGTGCTCACACATAGAAAGAACTATTTTAAAGAAAAAGTTACACGTATTTGGTTATCCTTTACATAGAAACAGAAATAACTTGCTTAGGTAATGTGAGATAAATTTCTACAAAGGTGTTATGTTTCAGTTGCTTGACTGACCAGTTAAGGTGGAGGCATGTTTTAGCACTTAAAATTGAAATTATTGCAGATGGAGGTTGCAAAATTTTCTTTCCAGGGAATGCAGATATTTTTCCAGATATTTCAAGAAATGGCATGACAGGGACATAAGCAATTGACTTACTTGTCAAATGATCTGTAGGATGGTAAAAGCTGCCAGGATTTCTTTTGAGAATTTTAAAGTATTTTTAACTGCTTAGTTGTTGCAGTTCTGGACAACTGAAAACAGGCCTCTGGATCCAGTCACCTCAGCTCTGTATGTTGAGCTTCGGTGAGATGCTTTATGTCTCTTTTCTGTAGCTCCCTAAAATCTTTGTTGTGGTACAGTTAACAGTTTTGTAACACTCTTCAACTTAAAATCTGTTGAACTCTTCAACAAACCGTAGTTGTCCTATGGGTTTGTTTGAGCAATTAGCTAAACAGTTGTGAACTGATTATTGCTATAAGATATCTGAACTCCTTTTGGCACTAAAATTTTGCTGCAGACAGTGCATATTCAAAATGGATTTATAAAGTCTCTTGAAGTTGAGGTCACTATTTAACAGTTGTGAGTTACTTGCTGCATACTTTAAAATGCAGATATTTTTGTCTCATTAAATAACTTTCCGAGCTCATTAATAGCATTAGGTTGAGGGGACTTAATAAAGTATTTTTCTGTGTAAAAAGTTTTTTTTTCTCAAAATACTCTTAATCTATGATGTTAACACAGTTAATATGTCAAGTGTCAGATTCATATATCAATATGAATTGTAGTAAACAATTTGTAGTCAATTTATCATTTTACTATCACTGGACTTTAATTGAATCGGTATATGATTTATTATATATTAATGCATAATAAATGGTGATAATTCTCCATGCTAGTATTCCAGCCAAGTTAGTTAAACTATGATTCCCTTTGTCCTTAATCAAGACTGAAACCAGCTCATTTTTGAAATAAACTGGGCTGCTTTCATTATAGCTTTCCTTTGTCTGAAATGGTCATGAGTGAGAAATTATGCCTGTGAACAGGAATGATCAGAACATTTCTTTTTAGTCTGTGTCTCACACTACATCCTTTTTTCCATCTGAACTGGTTTTGCTTTGAATTTGTTTGTACTGTGGGCTTCTCACTTTTATAAAATACTGCTTTTGTAGCGCTAGGCTTTAAAAGCCTCCATTGCTTAGGGCTGGAGCTGAGAATTGCCATGCAAGACTGAAAAAATACATTTCCTAGTGTATTTTGGATTGAGAGACTGACATTGCCTTAGTGTATGTTCCTTGGATTCCCCCTCTGGAGACCAGTCATATCCTTTAAAACTCTGCCATTTCTTAGGGATCCTGGAACCAGACAGTCTTTGTTATATGTGTCTTTATTGACTCCTTGGATAAAATGGCTTTAAAGCAGTGTACACATTAAGGAAAAGTTAAAAGGAAAAGTATTGTGGTCTCTCTTCAAGGGCAAATGCATTTGGATATGCTTAATGTTGTGATAGTTGTGTAAGTGTTTAGGGAAAACAGTTGTATCACAGAGCATCAAGTATTTGTTTTCCTTTAATCTTTTCTGGATTAAGAAATTCACCTTGTGAAAAGAAATATTTCATTATTTATGAGGTGTCTAAAACACCTATACTACAGAGCAACCTAGAACACCTGAAAAAGATTAACATTAAATACTGCTTTTAATTGGAGTGAAAAAAGATTGCAAATTTTAGATGTTTTAGAAAAAAATCCCAATTGTACACTTTTACTATATATGTGTGACTTCATATTTATAAAAGGCATTTATTATCTGTATTTGTGAATAGTATTTCTGCCCTTAACTCATACTCTAGCAATAATAGTACCTGTCTATCATGCAAATCCTATATTGTGTTGTATATGCTGTAGCCTGTGTTGCTCTTTTTTTTTTTTTTTTTTCCTGGCATCACTTGTTAGGCTCAAACCTTCCATACTAGAATTGAAAATAATTCTCTTGTGATCTTTGAAATGCAGTTCAACAATTGAACACAATGAAACAGTTAAAAAAAATTAAAAATGCAGCTGAGTGTTTGGAGGCAGTAGTTGTCTGTAAATACTTAAGCTTCTTATTTTTCAAAAGATGCAATTAACATCAAATGTTCCTCAGTATAAGAAGGCATGTCTCAAGGCAGGTATACTTGGTTAATTTATCTATGTGTTCACATTTTTCGTAGAGTTATTCTGGAATAATTTGTAGCATTTATGACAAATGAAGCAAATGGTGCATGAGGCTTTCTTCCATCAAAGATTGATTATTTCACTGATAATTAGATAAATATTTCAAATATCAGGATCTTTTGCCTTTAACTAGATAAAGGATGGTGTATGTTTCAAAACAAAACCAAGAACTAGCACGTGCAAATAAATACAAGCATGCCCCAAACACCCCATCGAGTTTTCTGAGAAAGCAAGGGGAAAAAGAAAGAAAATACTTTTAATCTAGCCCCCACTGATTACAGTAGAGTTATTTCATTAGAGTGTTTCTTAGAATAATATAGTGCACTGTGTTTTGGGGTTTTATTGTAGTTTTTATTTTACTCTATGAGGAAAGGTATATCGATTTGGGTTGCAGAATCCTGTTTCTTGCTTGCTCTGCAGTTTTTGTTTGTTCCATGTACAGTGCAAACTGTATATATATAGAACATACATATATATATACAAAGTTACTCTTCTTGCCTTTAATGTGGATACATTAGCATATAGCTGAAGAAAGTGGAGAAAAATTAGCGAGAAAAAAAATTACACGCTAATAGTAGCAATGAGAAATACTTATATTTTTGTAGTAGCATTTGACTGCTTGTTTTCTTGAAGTGTTTGTGCTTAGTCAAAATCACATTGGTCTTTAACAGGTTAAGTGGTTGAAAGACTTTCTAGTAGAAATGTCTTTTGGAGTGTACTAAAATCAATTTTGCAAACAACTGCAGGTTGTTTTTTTGGTGGTGCTTTTTTTTTTAAAATTAAATTTGTACAATATAAATAAATATTTCTGTGAAGCAGTAGTCTAGTCCTTCTTACATTAATAATTAAGGAATATGTGGTCCCAGTTTTTTTGGTTTATTGGCACTGTATGGATGAATTTCAAGATTTTATTACTGTGTTTTCAGATTGTAAGGCAATTATTAAAAGCTCAGATACGTGGGTACTTGATGCAGCAACACGAAAGCAAAAAAAATTATCAGTAGCCAGGAGAAATAGGATGATGCAAATATTTACTCTGAATCAACATCTGAGAATAGAAGTTTGTTTAGAAATGCACTTACAAATGGCTTTATATAATTTGCCTGCTGCATCTTTAACGAACGTTGTCAGCAGCCTTCCAGCCAGCAAAGTTATTTGTAACCTGATGGAGGTAAAAGCCAGGAAGTGACCAAAATGCTACGTTAAATGAGTGACAATATTATAAGGAAAATAATGGCAGTCAATTTATTCTTTTTTTCTTTTCTTTTTTTTTTTTAACAGTATGAATCAGATGAACAAGAAAAAAGTGCATATCAAGAGTATGATAGCGACAGTGATGTTCCTGAAGAGTTGAAAAGAGATTATGTTGATGAGCAGACGGGAGATGCCCCTGTGAAAAGGTAAGTAGACTGTGGGGATCCTTGGTCTTAACTACATGCTTTTCATCTCAGTACTCTAATTAGGTCATTTTCTGTTTAATCTGTACTCTATGACAATGGAATAATAATTGAATAATCTTAAAATTGAATAATTCTACCTGCGCAGTTAGAAGGGCTCAGCACTTAGGTCTCTGGAATGGGGAGGAACGTTAAACTGCTCATCATTATTGCAGAAAGAAACTTTGGAAAGCAAGATTTTGAAGGAGGATAAAGGCTCTCTGAAGCAGGTAGTGGAAAAATGATTAGCAAGCATTAGATGTTAACTGAAGATTCTTCTGCAACTGCTGTTGTGCATATGTATAATTTCTGTTGTGTCAAAAGCAGTTGTTTGGAGACAAATGACCTGAGGCTTGGGCTTCTACTTTTGCAGTCAAACAGTAAACTTTTACAGATTAAAAAAAATAAATGTAATTCTTCGTTAGCTTGAAGGCAGTCATTTGGAATTTTAAATTATCTTTTTCCTTAAGAATATATACACACACACGTATGTATGTATACATAAATATACCTATTCTATTTTGATGAAAATATATGTAAAAATATTTAATTTATATATATTCATATAAAAAAAAAGCCAACTCTAGCTTTTCAAAGAATCTGAAATACAAATTTCTGTCTAGGACACTGTACTACGATGTCTATTCAGACTTTGTGAAGCAGGCTAACATTATTTGTGTGTAGAGGATTGCAGGAGAACTAGAAAGCCACCACTTGAGTCAAAGCAGAGAAATGTTATTTTACAAAGCAACTTTTTAGGATAAAATATTGTTAGCATGATTTCATAAGATATATTCACATAAACTACTCCATTTCAAAGAAGTGATGGCGATATTGATAAAAATTACTTAATTGGAACAAACCACAGTGACTGTCCATAGCTTGATGCTGTGAAATTGAAGCATTCTGAATTTTTGGAAGAATGTAATTTTGAGGTATGGCGGCTGGCAGAAGGTTTCTCCAATAGAATCGTAGAATGTCTGGAGTTGGAAGGGATCCATAAGGATCATCAAGTCCAACTCCCTGCTTTTTGCAGGACTATCATTTATTAAAAATTTAATGTCTTTTTAGTTTCATCTTACTCAAAATTGATTCCATTTCCAGATAGTCATTTTCAGGTGTAGCTTACTAGTCTGCCCCTGTTTTGTTGCAACTTGCATTGTTTTTGTCTTCTTTACTTCATAAACTATGGACTTGAGTCAGAGTGGTTAAAATTATTGCTGAGGCCAGGCAGAGGCCTGCAGAAGTCCTGGACTACAACTTAGAAACTCTTTAGCACAATTTTATGTCAATTAGGCCAGACTTCTCTCTTCCAGTGTTAGATTGCTAACCCAGTTATGCTTTGGCATAGATAAAATACTGTAGTGGAAGATGTACTGTCATATGAAGAAAGGGGGGAGGAAGGATTTCTTTTCTACTAAATTTTTTTTGTATGTCCTTCAATATAATAGGCGGTCACATTTGGTGTATTTTGTTTTGTTTTCTTTAAAGTATTTCTCGAGAAACTTTGAGGAGCAGAAAGAGATCAGATTATAACCTCAATAAAGTGAATGCACCTATCCTAACAAACACTACACTGAATGTAATAAGGCTTGTTGGTACGTAGAACAATTGTAATTTTTTATATGTGGTTTTTATTTTAATGCAAACCTATGGATTATAGCAAATATGTTAAATTAATTTTAAGGCTTTTAGAAATATACCTAGTTGGGATCGATTTCCACTCTTTGAAAATGTTAATAAAATAGAAATAAAGCCCTAAACCAAAATATTTTTTAATTAAATAGACAAATTTGGTTATATCTTGTGAGTTATTTTTGCTTTGAAAATTAATCTGCATGCTTATATTGATTTTAACCAATAATGTTGGATTATTTGTCTAAAATATTGAATGTGGAAAAACAGTGGATGTAGAAAGGAAATAGATTAATGTTTTATGTTGCTAATGTGTCTTGGTGGATTGAATGCTTCATTTTAAAGTAGTATAGTTACAAAAGTAAGAACTTAAAGATTGGTGTTTTTTTGCCCATTTCATTACTCAATTTCTCACACCCAGAATAATTTTTACTACATGGTAGACAACTAGAAGTGCCCTCCCATATGGGTAATTTCAGTAATTGGAATGCATCCTAGTGATCCTTGGGAAGTTTAGGGAATATCTATCCTTGGAGGTGGTCAAGACGTGACTGGACAAGCCCCTGAGCAACCTCATCTCCTTAGACCTGCTCTGAGCAGGAGGTTGCACTAGGTGACCACTGGAGGTCCTTTCTAGCCAAAAGTTTTCTGTGAAAACACTCCCCTATGATTTAGGTGTAATGGGATTGATTTTTGTGTGATCGTGACTTCCATTTGATTATCTAGATACTTGTACGATAGCAATTTTCTGCTACTAACTTTCATTTTATTTGTAGAGAAGGGGAAGTAACTACCTGAATTCATCAGGTTAGGCAGAAGAGAGAGGAATTCTGTACGTGTTATATTAATGAAGTTTGTCTTCAATGTTTATGTGCTTGGAAATGATTGTGGTACTTCAGAGTAATCTGTTTTTAAAAGAAACTAATCCAACACCTGGTTAGTTCCTTTTGCTGTCTCAGAGAGCAGCACATAAATCTGAAATTAATCTTCTAAACCTTATTTGCAGGTTTTTTTTTTCCCTCTTGGAGCGTCTACAATATAGACCTGAAATATGAATTGAGATTATTCTGTCATAACTTTTCTGGTATTGATCTGTGAGTTAGTTTGGAGATGTTTGTTTGCTACCTTCTAGTATTAAGGTTTTGCTCTAAGAAAATTTAGGATTGAATCTAGAAATCACACGTGGCACTTTCATGCAATCCACTCGGTCTTCCCCCAGCCTCTGCCCCTGCCCCCCTGCCCTAACACAGTGTACAAGTAGGTGCAGCTGTAGTTCTGGTTTTCCAATTTTACATAAGGAGACTTTATATTTGTGGATTCCAGCCATAAATCCAAACTCAAATGTTATTTTTCAAAGCTCATATATATACTTTTTTCCCCTTCTGGAATTATGTTTAATTTTCAATTTTTTGCTGTTGAGGGTGTTTTATATTGTTTCTGTGATGACTGGTGGTAATAGTGTTATTTCAAATGTGGAATTGGAAGGAGACCTCTTGCAGCATCTGCTACAGGAAGTCATGTCATTTAGGTACTTCCGGTAAATATGGTTGTTTTGAGCTCCAGTTTAAAAATACTTCTGTTTTGTTCCCACCACTCTATCCAATAGTAATTCTATTCCAGAAGCCCTATCAAGCTAATGGTTAAAAAAAAAAACTTCCTATTTTCTGCCCACTTGATCTTATACCAAAATAAACTTTTAGGTTAGGTTTGACGGATCATCTTGTTCTTTGATGCATACTGCTCTGCTGTTTTTATAGAAGGCAATCCTTTTTCTTCTCAGTCTTTGATTCACTAAACAAAATGTGCCAAGATTTTTAGTATCTGTATTTATTTGCCAGAAGCTTAAGTCCCCTACTTTCTTACCAGTTCTTTTTCTGCTCTTGTTACAGAGTTACCAAAATCATGTACAGTACTTTGGATGAGATCTCACTGCATTACATCACTGTTGTATCGCAGCATCCTAGTCACAAGTTACCTCCCTTATGCACCTCTTTGGATTTCTCACAGGTTCCTTGTACTGGCAGTTCAGTCCATCTGTAATGAGCCTGTACAGCCAGCAGGTCCTTCACTTTCCCAGTTTTTTTCCAAGGGATGAGCTGTTAATTTATAATAGAAAGATGCATGTTTTTAATTGGTCCCCAGATGCATGGCTTTACATTTTGTACTACTGAATTTCATCCAATTTTTATTACAGCAGTCATCAAGGTCCTCTAGTTCCTCTTGTACACTGTGTCAATCCCTTTCTGTTTTGATGGTGCCTCCTTATTTTTTTCCATTATCATACTCTTATTTTTGTGCCAGAGTCATTAATGAAAATACTACAGAAGAGGCCAGTTGCTGGGAATTTCACTAGTAGCTTTTCCAGATACCTCCGTTTTCAACACACTCCATCCTGTCTTCTCTTTTGTTAAACCCTTACTCATTTAAAAAACCCTAGCTTCACTTGTTTACTGTGCAATATTGTTAAATTAATACTTTCACTAAATCCCAGGTAGAGGAAATGTACTGTGTCCTTTGTCTAGAAAATTATGTAGGTTCCCTAACAAAAAAATATATATCATAGTCTGGTACAGTTCAGTTCTGGTAGATGCATGATTTGTTTTGTGTTAATTTTACCTCCATATTTCTGCTTCTGTCACTTTCATAATTTCTTCAAAACTTGATCTAAGTCCTACATCCTACAAATTAAAGCAGTGGATCAATAGTTGCTTGGATGGCTATTTTCCTTCTTCTTGAATATGTTTTTATTTGCTGTTTTTCAGTTGTAGCAATACAACCTGTATCTTAGCTGCTTATTGCACATACAGGTTATTACACTGATTACCAGACTGATGATTTCACAGCCATTTTTTATTACGTCCTGATTCCTTCGATTCTGTAGCTTGACTGTTTTAAGGTCTTTTCCAGCTCATTCTCAGTGTGACTGAAAGCCACCAGTTCAATTCTATTAATCACCCTGTTCCCCTTCTTGCTTTTCTCTCTGTCAGTATCATTGTGCCCAGTGAAAACCAAGGCAAACTATTCATTCTTGCTTTTGGGCTGTCTTGCTTGTCTACAATTTCCCGGTTTGGTTTGCTTTTGTTAGTCTTCCGTAATTGGAAATTACCATCTTTGAAAAATTTAGTTTTGGCAAGACTTTTGGTACTTCTAGCGCTTAATGTAACTTCCTGAGCGAATAGGTCTGTTTTTCCCCTCTGCCCTTGTTCTAGTCATTCTTTGCTTCTAGTTTCTGTGCAGTTTCTCATGTTTCTAATATGCAATGTCCCCACCTCACTTTTATTTGTATCTTTTTTGAGGAATACCTACCATTTGATATCATAAGTGAAACGAGTTTTTTTTGTACCGTGTTTCTGTTAGACACAGACTGCGTATTACACCTCTACCACAGAAGTTGAAAGCACCTTTATCTTTTGTCATGACTTTTGGCCTTAGCATACCAATATTTCATTCACTTCTTCTAGGCAGCATCCCCAGGGGCATCACACACATTTCTTTAATGGTTAATGACTACAGAAAAAAGAAACAAGTAAGATACCACTCTTTAGCCAGACTATTGGATTTAATAGTTTTTCCTCCCTTCTTGTCTCCCATCTTGTCTCTTGAATCATCCCTAGTAAACATGAAGATACATGTTGTTGCTTGGCAGCTTTGACTGGGTGTGATGCTAGGTTGTAGGAGATTCGGGTATGATCCGCTCCCCTGGATTTTCCCGCTGCAGACAGGAATGCTGTGGAGCATGCCCATCTTTTAACAGCAGTCTCTGCTGATGCTATGGAAGGCTCCAGCTTGTCCCGCGCTGTCTCAGATTTTTGGCTAGGAAAATGCCATGGCAGTTAACACTAATTTCAAGGAGTATAACTGAGATGGTTGTCTTAGGATCCCTTCATTATCAATGGAGAACTGTTGGTAACTCCAGAAGATGATAGAGTTTGTTGGCTGTCTGGATGTCTTTGCCTGCATGTCATCGCATAGATATCTTAGCACTTGTCTTCTGGAGCTGCTTGCCCTCTGCACAGGAGATCTAGGCAACCAGTGTGGCTAAGGGTCTAGTTTTTAGGTAAAGTTGGACAAAGTGAATTGCATATGCAAGACCAGCAAAAAATAAGCAGGGGCCTAACGTAGAACAACGAACACTATACATATGTCCTATCTACAGGAAGCCTGTACTTTTTAAAAGTTCTGTTCCATGAAAATAAGGCTTTATTTTAAGAGATATTTGTTTTGGTGGCAGTAGTGTGAGTACTTCAGCAGTTTTTGTCCCTGATACGTTTTTTTTTTGACTTTATGTTGCATCAGCATGATTGTTGGTAGATCTGGTTCAGCTCCCTGATCTTAGTTAAAAACAAATAATGAAGGAAACTAGGTTTAAAAATTGATGTCTGGAGTGAGATGAAGATGCAGATTTGAATTGCCCCATCAAGTAACAGAAATTGTTGCCTCACTTTTTAGGAATGTTATGCAAGTAGTAGGACTCACTGAATGAGTATAGCAGTGCTCCTAACCCATTTTGAACTATTTCTGTGTGGAGGCTAGATGAATAAAACAAAGTGGAACTTAATATTTATAAACTACATAAATGAGTTGCTATGTATAACTGATGTGAAAGCTGCTATAACTTCATTTAATTTGAATTTCAAGTGAACGGTTCAATTTATCTGGTTTTCCCTCAAGTTAATAAACCAGGTAATTATTTCTCTGTTTCCGGTATAAAGTAACCATTAGATTAATTTATAAGGTTAATGTTTTCCTATCAAGCCATTGCATGTTGACTTAAAACGTAAAGAAGGAGTGAACCTGTGTTAAATTGGTATGGAATATTTTGACCTAGGTCCTATACATCAACAAGAATAATTAATGATTATGCCATTGTATATATTGCTTGGGTGATTTCTTATTTTAATTAACATCTTTCTGACTTAAGAAATAGTTTAATGGTTATTTCTTAGGTTGGATTTTTTTAATGCCTTTTTTGGCTGCATTTTTGCTTTTGTTGTGGATGTTTTTTGGGAAGAAGCTCTTGATTTTGCTTGCTTTAAAACCCATTAACTTCTAAGAAGATAATAATGGTGATGACAAATCTCATAGCAGAAATCTTGTAGCTGAAGTAAGTGATTGGTCACATAGCATAGAACCTCGTGGGACTTAAAAAACCCTAAATCATAGAGTCTTTCAAAATGATACGATTACAGTGGGCTTTTCCTTTTTCCTTCAAAGTGGTGTTTTATGTCTTAATGTATGTTGTAGGAAGCTGCATGTTTGGAATTGTGAGATTCCCTAGGAAATTATTTCACTAATGACGACGGATATACTAAAACTCAAATATATATTATTCAGGAGGTTTTGTATTTATTTACCTTTTTCTTTCAGTGATTAGTTTTCTATAATTAGTCTGATAGAGAGTACTCTCTACTTACTGTCATTAAGGACAAAAGAAGTGCTGGAAATAATACTTCAAAAGAAACCTGGCAGATGTTCAGCAGTTCTAACTATTAACAGAGAGCTTGTAGAAAGTCAAGCTACTTTGAGTTGCTGAAACTCTTAAGTGGTGCTTTCAAGTATTTCTGGAAGTTTCTAGCACAGTGTGGATTTGGGCTGTTAGTGCTGTTTGGAAATGTTCTCATATACCTCTTTTTCACCCCAAATAAGAACTTTAGTGCAACTAGGTAACAATGTATAGAAATTAAAAGTTGGTGTCCTGATAGAGAGAGCAACTAGGAGGAAATGTTCTTGGAACACTTGTTGTGTCAAGATGCTGAGTGATGTCGTAATAGAGAAATGTTCTTGGCATGAGAAGATTTTTATAGGGACAATATTTGAGCAGTGTACAGTGTATGTCCTTTAGAAAAGTGTAAGATACTGCCAGAGAGATTACCTTGAATATTTATGCCAGCTGCACAGATATTTGGCAATCTGTAACTGCCCAGAATGTGACACATCACCCTTATATTGTGTATGGGTTGCAGGCAAGTTTAAAAATGTGTTTCTCACAGGATAAGTGGAGAAAATCAGCCTGTGGCAATACAGAATATTCAGATAGCACATATGAAGATGACAGCTGCTTTGATTAGGGTACCATCCTTTCCCAAACATGAAAATTTCCACATTGGGCTGTGTTGGAATTAGCTGGGTTTGGTTGTCCCTTTTGGAAGACAGATAAATTTTTTTAAGTCTGCTTTTCAGTTTTTTCATAGTGCTGTGGGTCAAAACATTAATAATTAAGCATAGAATTAACGATTGGGCTAAACTTCCAAATATTAATTATTGCAACCTGTGTCAAATCTCCAAAAGTAACAAAATATGTGCTTGCCTGTGTTAGCAAACTGGGGCACAGAGGCATAGCATTCAAGCAGGGAGTCTAAGCTAGGTAGAAACCTGGAAAGTAGCAATGTCAGGTTATTGCTTGATTCTTACCATAGTGCTATATCATCTTACCAGGTAGGTAGCTGTATCATGTATTTATCAAATTAATGTTATCTTTACTGACCTACACAAGCAATTGCTTAAAAAAATTCACATAACTTCCTGTGATATTAAAAGCTAATTTTGTGCCTTGTTACTCAATTTCTCTGCTTAAGACAACATTTTCTGTATTGATTAGCAAATTACTTTGCTGGGCACAGCATTAACTTGAAAAACAGTGTTGCTGACTACAGGAAAAAGAAATTCTTTTAGCACCCTCATGTTATTTTTTCCAACCTGTCACATCAAAACATGTCTGGAATATGACAATTTGTTAAATGCTCTGCTATATCCTACATGCTGGGTGGACTGCATTTATGATTTGATTCAAAAATTGGTCTGTTGCTATAATAACCCAAAACTTATTATATATTCTTTATGTTTTTAAGATGCTAATAGGGCAAGCAGTATGTCATTTTTGAGCTAGCCAGCAGGAAATGTAGGATCTCTGCAACATCAGGGTTTTCATTAAGTACACTTCTTGTATGATGCTAAGAAAAGAGCCATGCCCTATGCTGGAAAACAAAATAACGAAAAACTATAGGCCCTGTAAACA